ATTATCTTAGAGGAGGGTCGTTGGATGTTATTATAAAATTGAGGTTTCTGATGTAGGAAGTCACAATTATTGCCTTTTTTACAGAATTTTCTTTTCCTCTGGAATGGACACGGGGTTAAATGTTTTGGGCGTTTAGGTGTCATTCGGTTAAAACGTCCATTACCTAATCGAGATGTGCTGGTATTAAATATACCCGTTGTTGACTTAGTTTTACTGGCTTTATTTAGATTAGTAGCTTCAGTTAGTGTGCAGTTTTTTAGGAGATCGGTATTCGAGACGCCAGGTTGATCTTTAACAATAAGAACTGACTCATTATGTATATCAGTTTCATTATGGGATATATTTATAATGTCTTCAGTTGACTGATTTAAGTCGGAGTTTAGAACGCTAGGCCGGTCACTTGCTATATTCCTAAACTCGTCGTAGATATTAAATTCATTGAATAAAGTTGGTCCAATGGTATGGGAGGTGTATATGTTAGAGTCAATTGGCGGATCCTTATCAGTAGTTGTAGGGTCATTAAAGGTGGTATTTCTCATACTATTAGTGGGACTGTTGGTCATAGGATTGATATTCATTACTTTGAATGTTGAATTCCCAAGAGACCGCAAGCTTGACGCAAGGAGCAAATTTGCTTCGCTAAGTCTACATATCTCGCTGTCTTGCTTGCGAATAACAGACTCAAAGTCTTTTTGTTTAGATCGCATAGAGTTAATTTCAGTTATTAGATCACTCGTAATGTCAACTAGGGTAGCAATATCTGCTTTCAAGCCATCAAACTGCGATACAGATGGTTCAGTCAGCTCATTAACACTACTAAAAACCTCTTTCGTTGATGCTTCGCATGAGGGATTTACATCTTTCGGGTCCCGATTTATCAAGCTTTCGAGCTTCAACTTTAGATTCTCTTCAGCATCATCACTCTGTATAACCAGCTTTTTCGAACGAGGACCGCGCCATTTAATCATATATTCCCCTTCTCCTTCGCTTTTGAAAACTTTAACGTCGCCTCCAGGGGATTTCCACTTGCCTTTCAAGTTTAGTGCTTCTAGAACAAACCTTTCTAATTCCTCAAAGGTTTTAAGCCATACATATGTTCCACTGTCGTAAGATAGACCGTTAAGATAATTCATAGTTGATTAAAAACTAAGATTTTATTCAAAATATATAAAAATATAGCGGAGCGAAAAGCACACGTACACGTTGTATAGACACGTTGTATAGACATAGAGTATTTCGCGCCGAAGAAAAACATTCTATACGAGCGACATATTTTTCGCCAAGTCAGTGAGCGATTAGTCTCCTACGCAGACCTATTTAGCGGGTTTGGGCCCGCCACGTACGGTCTGCTTACTTTCGCTAGCAATTCGCCTTCCCATTGTATTCCATTAGCCAATAGCATTCAAATGCACAAGACACGCCCACTTAAACTTGTAAAATGTAAATGTAAACAAGGAGCGTGCGATAATCGAATAATAATACGGTATATACGTTAAATGGCCATAAATGTGAACAGATCGAGTTTTCTGATCAATAGCAGTCGAAGTAGAAAATATTGAATATTTTTCCGACGAATGTACGCGATAGGTCGAAGGCTTAAATGTATATAAAACTATTCACTGGTAATACTTGTTTTTAACTTGACGCGACTGCGTGACGGCATGTATATTCAATATATATACTGTTAAAAGAAATCATGGGCGTGTGGGAGTCTGTATATGTGATAAAGATTCATGTTGATCTACATAAACTTTAACTTTGATTTTCTCGGCTTAGACAACGTTTATTTTTAAAATTACTTCGCCAATGAACTCATAAGATGAGTTGTTTTCGGCTCGAGTTTGTATATCCGATACAACACGTCTGCTCATGTTGTAAATAGTGCTAAGTTTCCGAACGTTCAATATCAGAGCGACTTTTGTAATTACGATTTTAATTTGTTAAACTTTATAAACTGGCTAATCCTATACAAACTTAGAAACCGAAATATGCAATGAATCAATTCAGTATAATTTTATATAGGCTGAATTCTGTCGAGAATTCTGTAGTCTTCAATTAGTACTTATAAATCTATTATCTACACCCGCAGTAATGTACACTGTAACTTTATAACTTTGTCTTGACGTCTTTGTCCAGTATAGACAGTATATTACCCGTGTTACAGTAACACCTGCAAACGCTTGTAAAGTTTTTGTTTGTTTTTTTTCTGTGTTGGTGTAGTGTACTCAGGTGAATATGATATTTGTGGTGTTACTCTGAGTGTATATCCACACCGGGCGAGCTTGAAAAATATGCCCGGCCACGGTGGTATTCGAACCTACGACCTTTGGAATACTAGCCCAATGCTCTTCCAACTGAGCTACGCGGTCAGGACGGTTCGAGTAAGTGATATTTCGGAACAGAATCTAGTTCCTTCGATACCAATGTATTCTAGTAATATAAATTTTTTCTGTGTTGGTGTAGTGTACTCAGGTGAATATGATATTTGTGGTGTTACTCTGAGTGTATATCCACACCGGGCGAGCTTGAAAAATATGCCCGGCCACGGTGGGATTCGAACCTACGACCTTTGGAATACTAGCCCAGTAATACTAGTAAAGTAATCAAAACATCGCGAAATATTTTAGGTGATATTGTTCGATTTTAGTACACTGTCTGTTCAAAACAATAGCTCGACAAATTCTAACAGATTTTACAATTGTTCCATATTGTAAATTTGTGGACTGGTTTATGTATAACAAATATATCTCTTAGCTCTCGCATATAATCGGTTTAAGATATGAATATACGTAGAAATGAAGATATGAAATAGTTCAAGATTAAATGTTTTGAAACTTTTGACGACCCAAGCCTCAAGGTCAAAGGCATAGTCAAAGGTCAAGCCCCACAATTTTCGTGGGTAAAGCTGTGATTGGCTAATTTTGAGGAAAGGAATTCTTGGCCAAAGTAAGCATACCTTACGCGAGGGCTCAGCCCGCTAAGTAGGTATGCGCAGGTGACTAGCCAGCGATCTGACGAAACAATTGACCAATTCTGTACACATACATACATACAAAACTTTATTTAAACCACGCTAGCCTCAACAGCCGTTGAAGGCTGGTTTCCATGAGGGGCGTGAAATTACCTATTTACAAGAAGTTAACTATATACAGGAAATACAAAATATAACAAAGTAAAAAAATACAAGTGATTTTAGCTGCACGATTACACACAAACAAATTTCAATTCATTCTTTGTTTCAATATCGACTTGAAAGAGCTTAGGGATTCAGCAATTTTTGCCTCATGGGGAAGATTATTCCAATGCAAGGCACGATTATAACTGAAGCACCTCTTGCCGAATTCTTTTTTCGGCATAGGTGGTGCTAAATCAGTATCCCTATTACTAAGATTGTAAGTATTATGTCTTTCATTATTAAAATGAAATGCTTCTTTAAGATTGGGTGCGGTGTGGCCATTCAAAATTTTATAGACGAAAATAGATTTAAGATAATTTCGTCTTTCTTCTAGAGGTTTCCAGTTTAGATTATTGAGTAACTCAGATGACCGAATATCGTAAGTTGCCCCAGTAATTGCTCTTGCAGCACGATTTTGGTATTTTTGCAATTTACCTTTGAGCCCAATTCCACAATTATCCCACACGACTGAGACATCGTGCCTCGACATGC